ACCCCGGCTCCAGTAGCGTGGCACGTTGGGACCTGCCGCTTCCCGGGAGCGCTCGGCGCTTAACTGATGCTCTCCTGCTTTCTGTGGACCCTCCAGATAGTGCCCCCAAAGGAATGGAAGCCGCGGCAGTGCTACGATGACATCGATGAGCTCGTCATCCCAGCGCCCATCCAGCAGGTGGTGACCGGCCAGTCGGGCCTCTTCACGCAGTACAATATCCAGAAGAAGGCGATGACAGTCCGGGAATTCAGGAGGATCGCAAACAGCGACAAGTAAGCCCGTGCACGCCTTCCCTTAGTGAGCAAAGTGCTGCTGCTTGGCTTCACGGAGGTCCCGTCCTGCAGACCTCCTCTGGGCAGAAGTGTGAACACAGTGCCCTGGAGAGATGGGCTCTGCATGTGCATGGACCTCTGTAGCCTCTTGCATTTTGCAAGGTGGTTTATGTGTCAACAGAACTCTCTCTGTTGTATTTCTGCTATGGAGTCTTGTCTCCAGAGTAGCTAGACCATCAAAATCTTTTATAGAGTGGGCTAGTACAGAAAGGAATGTTTCTGACATGAAAAAATAGTTTTTAAAAAGTCTTAAAAGTAGCTTAAGTAATACAATCTTTGAAGTAACTATTCAGAAATGCCATTGGACTTGCGAGGTGTTATTTGCACCTTATTTTATCTTGCCAGAGCAGTATCATTCAGATGTTGGGTGATTCTCTTTCTCTAATTTACAGAGAATTTGCCAATTTACAGAATTAACCAATTTACATAAAAGTAGTCTTTAATGCTGTATATATAATAGCCTAGAAGATACATACATTAAACAGGTGTCAGAGGATAAACTTGATCTCAGTAAGTGCTGCCCGAGGAGGCCAGGATGTAGTTAGCAGGAATAAGACATGAGAGCGGATATTTTGTTGTTAAACTGAGCAGTTTACTTGCAGGTAAGTGTGGAAACGTGGATGTTGCTTTCACAGTTGCCTGAAACTTTGTTTTATATGTAGCTCTCTGTAGCATTTCTGGTAACAAATGCAGCAGCCTCTGTTAAGTAGCAAGAACTGGAAAGTGAAATTGCTCCAAGCTGAGGGAAGTGCTGGAAGCAAAAATGAAAGTAAACTGTGAAATGGGAAAGGCACCTTTACACTGTTCCTTTGTTTCTAAGTCTCACAGGAACAGAGCTCTGGTCTTTTGGTTGCTGCTTTAATAGAGAGGTATTTGCCTGGTAACAAATGCAAGAGGTATTTTTAATAAAATTTTTTCTGCTTTTAGTGCTCAAGCATATTGTTCTGACTTCTTAAGTATCAAACTGCAAAGTGTTTTGTTTGTTTGCTTTTGTACTGTTTGTTTATTTATTGACTTATTTTTAAGATACTGCACGCCTCGCTACACAGACTTTGAAGACCTTGAGCGAAAGTACTGGAAGAACCTGACATTCAATGCCCCCATCTATGGTGCTGATGTTAATGGGACACTTTATGATAAGGTAAGAAAAACTTCTGGTTTTGGAATAACCTTTTTCCTTTTCTCCTGTATGTGTTATGTTCTAGAAATGTTCATCTAGCATTTGATCCTAGCTTTCAGAAAGCATTAATAATAACCTTAGCAGGGTTTTAGCTTCTGGAGTGTGCTAGCTGGAAACACAGTAAATGATACATTTATAAAACGCTTCCCATTTAACCCAGATGGTTAAGGCAGCTACTGGAGGTAATGTTGTAAGAGACAGCTGTGATTTTTTTTCAGCCAGTAGTGCTTCAGTGCAATCAGTTTCTTTCTAGAAAGGAAAAAAATGTTGCAGCACAAGTCTTTCTTTTATGGGCTTTGTCCTGAAACATTTTTGTGGGACACCTTTGTAGCCATTGCAAATTAGACTGCTAAACTTTAGGAAAGGGCATTGCAAGGTATGTTCTAGCCTGCTTGCTAGTCTCCTAAATTATTTTAATTTACTATTTAAAAGCAGTTGAGATGAAAAGCATTTCTGTTCAAGAGGGTTTGGTCTGCTCTCACTTTGACAGAACACCAGCTAAACTCATGCCGTTGTTCTTTCCTGTGTAGTCTATAATTTCATGATTATTTCTCCTTCCTAGTTATTATTCTGTTGTGTTGTTGTTGTTGTTTCCCTCCAGCTGCATAAAGGCAGCTAGTAAGCAATCGCTGTATATAAGGTAATACCATGTGAAAATTGCGTTTTAGGTGGTTTCGTAGGTTTGGGCTATGTCGGTAAGTGATTTGTCTCAATCTGCTCTTTGACCGCAGGCACCTGGTATCTTTTGTAAATGTTGTTTTATTTTTCACGATTCTATTCTTTGTGATGTTTGGTTTAACACAAGGTTTATGATTTGTAGCATGTAGATGCATGGAATATCGGCAGGCTGAACACAATCCTGGATATCGTGGAGAATGAAAGTGGCATAACCATTGAGGGAGTGAATACTCCCTATCTCTACTTTGGCATGTGGAAAACTTCCTTTGCTTGGCATACAGAGGACATGGATCTCTATAGTATTAATTACCTGCATTTTGGGGAACCCAAGTCATGGTAAGTTTTTCTAAGGAAGCTTCTAGGCATAGAAAAAGAAAGACATGTATGGGAGTCTTAGGTAGTTGAGTTTCAAGATTTGAGTAAAGAATTCATCCAGCTCAGTGAGGAAATGCAAAACAGTAGGATTTGCTTGCTCATCTTCTGAAAATTCCATTTGCTGTTTTGATATAAATAGTTCTTCAATATTCTAATATAACATGGATAGTTTGTAGGCCCAGAGCTAGGAACACTTGTTTATGATTTTCTGGGGGTCTGCAATGACCATACATAGGGAATGTGCCAGTTATCATTCAGTTACTAGAGAAAGGGGCAGTTTTTAACAAACTTTGAAATATAACTGTTTATTGCAGCAGTAAAAGCAGATGGTGTAGCTTGCTGAGCGGTTGGTCCAGTGCTTGAGTTTTCATGATATTTTATTTATGAGAGATTCCCCAGTTTTTCTGTAGATGAGTTGCATTTTAAGAGTGAATCATTGCTTTCTGTTTACAAATAAATTTCTGAAGCAAACTCAACAATTGTTTCCATGGCAGTTTTATTGGAAACCAGTGTTTTGGCTGGCTTTTAATACAACTTAAAAAGTATAAAATACCATGCACCATGTGACCAGTGAACAATCCCCATGCAGTAGCAATAGTATGGGGACAAAAAAAACAAGATAGTTCAGCTGGATAAACTGTTTGGCCATTGTTTCTTTTTCAGTAGTAAGTAAAAAAACTTAACTTTGCTGACATGTCTAATTTGTTCAACAAGCAACTTTCTTATCATTCCCTTGTTGTACAAATCAATTAACTAAATGGCTTGGGTATTTTATTTCCTCTTTGCGTAAGTCTGTGGTTGGCTTTTGGCTGTAGTTTTCCCTTGGGCTAGAGAGATGAAAGTCTTTGATTAAGATTTTGATCTAATATTGTAAAACTTTGAAAAAGAAGGTGATGGAGGAATTAAAAAAAAAAGTAATTCATGCTTTATGATTTCCAGTCAAAGATTTTTATCATGTCACCTGAACTTACTGACTTGTTCTTATGACAACAGGTACTCTATTCCTCCAGAACATGGGAAGCGGCTGGAGAGACTCGCCAAAGGTATTTGTGTGATATTTGTATGTCCTAACTCTTGTAAAAGATGACATGGATAGCTGCAACAGGTGTCAGCTCTTTTGGGAGTACAACGTGTCTGTAATATTTCTAGGAGAACAGGAGGGCACGACTGGACTGATTATTTACTTTTTATAAAATATGTGGGATTACTTTTGTGTGTTTGCTTGTATTATACATAGTTCTGGTCTGTGTAACCTTTAATGAAACAATCCTTAACTATTGATTGTCAGAACTGGAAGGATATACCCAAAGAGCAAGCCTTCCTTGTGCAATCTTTCTCATGCTATTTCAATCAGGCATCTGTTTAAAAAGTCTGCAGGAGTTGCCTTTTTCTTCAGAGTACAAGTTGGTGCATTTCATAAAAGGTAGTCCATACCTCTAGGTCAAGGGAAAAATCATGCTTAGATGGTAGCTTTAAAATCATATATATTGAAAAATCAATTCAGTTCACAGCAGAACACTGATATCTCCCCTTGCCTTTATTTTAAACAGGTTTCTTTCCAGGAAGTGCCCAGAGCTGTGAAGCTTTTCTCCGTCACAAGATGACCCTGATCTCTCCATCAATTCTGAAGAAATATGGCATCCCATTTGATAAGGTTTGGGGAAGTATTCATGTTTTTAACAGCTCAGGAAAGATATTTGTTCAGCCCTGTCCCGTCTCTAACATCAGCCAACAGCAAATGCTTAGAGTGGAGAATAGCAGCAGGGAGGGCATATGGAAATAATTTCTTACTGCCCTCTCCATTTACCCAACAACTGGGTACTGAAAGAGTTCCCGAGACAGAAAAATCTAGCAAGGGCTATTAAAAACAGAGCAGTGGAAAGCTGACTGAGCTTTACATGAATACGAACGGCAAAGGAGAACAAAAGGAAATTTCCAAGATGTGTAAGCATAGAAATTTCAGTTGGTAGTAGAAACAGCCCCCCGCCAAATCTTCAGCAATTACAGATGAGTATCTGATAATTTATGACTCTGAGATGCCTCATGAAAGAATGATTCCTAAAAAAATGAAAGAATGATTCCTGTATAATACTACTTTTGTGCTACTTCAACCAGTTTTGTTGTATTTGAGTAAAAACAATGTGGGAGTGTTGCTTTCCAGCAAACAGATAAAATGTAAGAGAATAGTGAGGATAAATATTAAATCTATCCAGTGCAGTGAGTTACTCCATGTGCCCTCTAAGGAGGGATTTTAAATATGTTGCATAAGGGTTGCAGACTCCCTTTGTGCAAATTCACAAAGTAGACTGCTCAACTGTAAATGCAACGTTTTATTTGTTTTCTAGGTGACACAGGAGGCTGGAGAATTCATGATAACTTTTCCCTATAGTTATCATGCTGGCTTTAATCATGGATTTAACTGTGCTGAATCTACCAACTTTGCTACTCTTCGATGGATAGAGTACGGGAAGCAGTCTGTGCTGGTGAGCAGTTTGTCACCCATCTGTTGCATATAAATCACCTGAATGCAGGTGCTCTTCACTCTTAATGCTCTGCTACTCATTAAGCCCTCAGTGTTTGTTTTGGAGAAGTGAACTCCAGGGAAGTGAACTATATCCATTTAAGAAGTGATGTTTGCTTTCTAATATGGTAGTGAAGTCCACTCAGCCTCCTATTCGTGTCATCATTTAACTGTGCATAGAATATAATGTGTTTTACCTTTCTGTAGATCAAATGAGATTTGGGTTAAAAGAAAAACAAATGATACATTATTATCACCTTTCCTAAGGTGAAAGGTTCTGCTTGGTGTGCACCTAATCAGTGCTTGATGTTTAAACGATAATATATTGACTGTCTAGACTAGAAGTATGTCTTAGTTTATCAATCAGAGCCGTTAGCCTGGCCTTTAATCTGGATAGTGTTTTATCTCTGTAAAGGTGCCTCATTGCCATGAGTTATGTTTTGGAAAGTTCATGCTGGAGTGGATGCTTTCAAACACAAGTTGTAGGCAGGCTCAGACAAGGTGAACCTCTGCTCTTATGGACTGGCACAGAGTTTATATGGTTCTGACATCCTCATTATAACCTCCGTTTTTTTCCGGAGGTTGATGTATGAGTTCATGGAGTTTTAAGGTTGTGAGCTTCTACCAGCAACTCTGTTAATAAGCCTTTCTTTCTTAGTGTGATACTTTCCAATTTGCTGTTTCTTAGTTTTTGCTGACTTTTTTCCCCTTTTTTCAGTGGGTAGCATGTCTTTTTGATTTCCTGAGGCATAATCTTGAGAGTTTCAAGTTTATGCATGTGTGGTTTGTTGTTGTTGTTTTCCCCTTTCGGTTAAGTTCCTGGAAGCAAAGTGAGGTAGGAATGTAGAGTAAAATTGTCAAATGCGTAGTCTTACTTGAATATGTTGTGTGATTGCAGTGTTCGTGTCGGAAGGACATGGTGAAGATTTCCATGGATGTGTTTGTAAGAAAATACCAGCCAGATCGCTACAAGCTTTGGAAAGCTGGGAAGGATGTGACTGTCATTGATCACACTCTTCCAACACCGGAGGCAGCAGAATTCCTTAAAGGAGACCTCATGCAGAGAGTCAAGAGTGGAAAACAGTGTGCCGAGGAAACGGAAACTGGGGAAACATGTAAAGAGGAGGTGGAAGGGGATGAGAGAAAAAGGTACTGCTACTTATTATAGTCTTTTTTTTTTTTTTTCCCCCCTGCAATTATAAGAAACTACGCCCTGCTGCAAATGAATGTTTGGCATTCCCCCCAAAAAAACAGTAGCAGAGTTAGTAGTAGACTGTTTTCTTGGGCATGTTGTTTACCCGTTGTTTTTACAGTTTGGGTGCAAATTGATGATGGCGTGGCAAGCAGGAAAATTACTGGCTTAGAAGATTATAGTTCTTCACTTTTGGACAGCTGTCCAAACCCTGGTTTGGAAATACACACCATAATATGGAGAGGCCAGAAGAAACAAGCACTGAGTTAGGGTCCTGGAAAGGTACTTGCTAGCAAGTGTGGTCAGTATTAGTGCTGAAAGTCTCTAAGCTGATGCACAATCCCTGCTTGCTGCAGACTGTGATCAAGCCACCATTTTATCTTTGTTGCTGAATATTTCTTGGGTATTGTGCAGCCACTGTTCCTAACTATTTATTTATATTTAAGGTAAAAATTGTCTGGCTAGAACATAGCCCCATAACACACAATTAATAGATGCTGAGGTGTAATCCATAAGGATCACTTATTCTTGCTTCTGTGAAAACCAGAGATGACTATAGAATAATATCTGAATTATTTGGCTTGCCATATACTGGCTCTTAAGACAGTGTGACCCAAACTGAGCTGTATTTTGTGTTTCCACAAACAAAACCAACAAACTTGAGATGTTTGGTAAGCTGATAAGTGGATTTGTCCTCTGCAGCATGCCCAAGCATCGCATAGGAACTAAGAGGCATAGAGTCTGCCTGGAAGTGCCTCAAGAGGTGAGTGAAAGTGAAGCCTTCCCCAAAGAGGAGCTGAGCTCTATGCAGTATGAAGTGGATGTGGCAGAGCCTTCTGTGAGACCTACCAGCGGACTTGTGCAGCAGGGTGATCGAGGGCTCAAACTTCCAGGTAACTGTGTATCAAGCTTTATCCTGCTACGGGAGCACAGAATGTTGCTGCGCCTGGAGAGGAACTGCTGGAGCAGTACACGGAGTGTTTTCTCAAATAAAAAGCCAGTTGATAGAATGTTACCACGTCCAAAGAGCAAACACTGGTTTGGCAAGCAGTTCATAACAGCAAATTTCTGAGTCTGAGATATCTCAGTTTTCCAAATTGAAAAAGTCACTCTAGAAAGTTTTTAGAATTTTCCCTGTGGTTAAATGTGTGACATTTTTCTTAGTCCTTTGAGCAAATGAGTTAACCACAGTTTGTCGAGCTGTTGACTTTTGTCACTTATGTGTACATAACTTCCCAGTGACAACTCAAAGCTGTTAAAAGCTATTGGAGAAAAAGATGTAGGCAACAGTCCTGTAGCTGCTTGAATGAGTGACTGACTGTGTCATGGAGTTGTTGCCTTGCTGCTGGTCTAAAAGTAATTGGATGTATTGCAGGAGATGTGCTTTAAAAAAATGCTATTTCTAGCTTTTGATTTTTCTCTTTTCTATTCTTTGTCTGATTGCATATAGAAGTATATTGGATACCTCAGCAGTCTAAGGCATCACTGTTTTATAATGCAGCCTTTGTTTAGAAATTGGTTATTTAGTATAGCATACACAAATTTCTAGCTATTGTGCTTTACAGACAATTTCTTTGTAATGTAGTAACGAGTAGCACATAGTGATTTCCTCTAGAATCCTGCTCTCCAGATTTTTGCCACTTATAATCATCTTTATCTTTTCTGTTGAGCCTTGCTTGAAACCTGGTGACAATTTAGCTACGCCATGTAAAAAATCATCTATTCTTGCTTATTTCAAATCCACTTTCTACTAGTTTTACTAGTAGAACCCATAGTTCTTGTACTGGAAGATGCAAAGAGAGAACTTTCTACTCAGTCTCTCCAAGCCACCCATGATTTTATAATGTTTGAATTAATTGAATTAATCTTTTCACTACCTGACTTAGTGTCACATATCTTTGTGCTTATTCTTCTTCCCTGTTTGGTTTCATTCAAACAGGTGTACACTGTTCTCTGTGCTGCCCAGATTTTAATAACATTTAGTATATCTTTTCTTCTAGATCATACGGACTCATCAGCCCAATTCGAAGAACTGAAAAGGGTGAAGCTTGAGGAGGAAGAAGAGGAAGAGCAAGAAGCAGCTGTGCTAGATCTCTCTCTTTCACATGCTTCACACTCGGCTTCAGCTCTGCCAGCTTCGAAGCCAGGTTCAACTTCCAGTGTTCAGCCCAGCTCACCAGCATATTCTGGTTCTTCAGACTGTGAATCCAGTGATCTGCTGCCAAAAAGGACTGTTCCCGGGCCAGCAGGGTTGTTCACTGTCCATAGCTACGCTAGAGGAGATGCCAGCGGATCTGACAGTGAGCAAACTTCAGGGAAGAAAGCCAGTGCTACAGCCAGTGTGAACGAGCAGGAACTGGCAGAGGTATGGGTGCCAAGAGTGCTGAAAGATTAAGGGCCGTGTTCATGGCCATGGGTTTGCTATGACAGAACTTCCTATCTGCGCAGATCACACTTGCATTCCATTGGTGTTTGCATAACAAGTCATTTAGTAATTATCTTATTTTCTAATATGTGCAGATCAATATAATGTTCAATTGGAAAGGTCCAGCAGCTACTGGTGTTTAGAGTTTTGTTTCCCTGAGGTGCTACAAAGGGACCTAAGTAAAATTTAATAGTTGGACAACCTTAATTGTCCTCACTGCTTATGTCAGCCCAATATTTTTGATCACCATTCAGACCGATAGATGGTGGGTGATGACAGTGATAGGGCACTGTAGACCCAAATAGTTTCCCAAGTCATTTCTGACTGGTCTTACAATTTTACAGTTCTAAGTGAGAAGGGTGTGTCTGTTTTACGATGCTAGTGTTACAGGCTAGTCCAGGTACTTTTATGATACTAAACACCTCTTTGGACTCAAGGTGAATCCTGTCTAGTTCAACTTTTTTTTTTCTTTCTTTTTTTTTTTTACAGGTTTGTGAATGTATGTTTGAGCTTATCTTTTTTTGTTGTTTTTTTCCTATAAAATTGCATACGTCTGCCCTTGTGTGTAGCTTTTTAAAACAAATGATGCAAAAAGATTGCTAGGAAAAATGTAAATCTGAATCTTTTCTAAAACGACAATTATGTTTTTACTAGACAACCCTGTCAAGGAAAGGCTATGCTACTTAAAAATCTTGTCTGTCTTTGCTGTCTTTTCAAATAATGTTATTTTCCTTTCTCATTATGTATTGAAGTGATGGAAGGCTAATAATGGTTAATCCTCAAAATTCAGGAATAACAGAAGCAGAACAGCAGAGAATCAAATCTGAGGAAAATTAAGCTGAAAATGAGAAAGAGTTCTCATGTGTACATGAATTCAGGAAATTGTTGCTGGTATTGGTCTGGATACTCAATACAAGGCAAACCAGAATTGCTGAATAAATGTAATTGGTGTTCCCATGTACAGTGTATTCGCAACAAATTTTCCATCAGATAGTAACTGCAAATATTAATTGCCATATGAATAAAAGTATTTCTGCTTCTGAGCAGTCTTGTAGCCGTGTAATTGGTGTTCCCGTGTACAGTGTATTCGCAACAAATTTTTCCATCAGATAGTAACTGGAAATATTAATTGCCATTTGAATAAAAGCATTTCTGCTTCTGAGCAGTCTTGTAGCCAGATGCTATGTAGGAGATCAGATATGACGATTGTTAGGCTTTCTTCTTCCTTGCTGTGTAAAAGAAGAGGAGATTTAAAATGCCTTTAATATTAAGATTTGCTTCTGTTTATGGAGGAATCACAGATTCAAAACATGAGCTCCTGCTTCTGTTACTGGGCTGTTAAAAATCATTGCCTTTATTGCCTTTCTTGTCAGGTTAGTAGTAATTTTGTCAGTGAACGTCATTTGTTTTTGCGCAAGACCAAGGGCAGAGGAAATGACTTTACTCTTGTGGTCTCGTCCTTCCAGTCTGTCTGGAAGGACATCAAAACAAATAGTAAGCAGATGGGGTGGAAGTATTCTTCCATTTAAAATAAGCCTGTTGATCAAGATGCATGAGTAGGCTCTGTAATTCTTTTTCCTGATTTAGGTTCTCATTTTACGAGAATGTTTGAGACTTCTTATCATAGCTCTAAAACTGTTAAACTGTTCAACTCCTTTTTTTTTTTTTTTTCTTTTTTCTTTTTTTTTCCTTTCTCTTTGGCTTCTGTCCTTTACACCATTCTTATAAACAGACTTCCATAAAAAGCTACACTGGGACTTGTGCAAAGTCTAACTTCAGTGACACAACAGGGCCAGCTCAGAGTTGAACAATGAAAATACACCATTTAGTTTAGCACTCTGTTTATTCTTTCCAAAACTATGCAAGTAGTTCTCATAAAAGCTAGTTACTTGGAACTTAAACTTGAATGTAAGTGTTTTAAAAAGGCCCAAAGGACATGTGCTCATATGACTGCTCAACTGCTTCTTGTCCAGGTAGCAAAGGAGTACATAAGATCAATGAAGGAGAGTAAGAAGTCCAAGGGCCGTCGCCAACCGTTGAGCAAGCTTCCCCGCCATCACCCGCTCTTGGTTAAAGACTGCGTTAGTGATGATGGTAAGTGTGCGCTTCAGGGAAAGTCTTAGCTTCCCTAGGCAGTGGTGGGTATTCCATTAAATAGCTCACAATCCCTGGCAGTCATTTAAATCTGTTGCACCCCTATGGTATAGGCAATGTTCTTGCTTGATTTTTGTGTTTGTGTAGTTAAGCTGTTCTCTCAGGTTGTTGTCCATGTTTCCTCTTCCATTCCTTGAAATGTTACAGCTCTGGAAGGAACCACTGCCAGAAGTGCAATTGAGTCTTCCATAGAGCTTTCCAATAACTGATGTAAATGTTTATTGGAAGGGGGAAAAAAGGAGAGAGGAAAAAAAAGTTTCTTTGGCTGACTTGCTCTCGGCACTCTTTGGAGTTAGGCCCGTGGGGTGAGAAGAATACTATCTTGGATTTCAAGCACAGTTGCTTGATCAGCTTAAGAATTCTCTTAAAAAATGAGACCCAGTTACTGCCTTCTATCGCCCATTTGAGAGCTGCATTTCTGGTAGCCTTGCCGTCATATCCATTCATAGCTTCTTGGTTTATGTAGCTTTATCTGCAAGAAAGACAGCTGTTAAAGGCCATAAAGTTACAGAGTGATGATCTCTTATTGCAGAGGCATCAGAGCAACTAACTCCCGAAGAAGAGGCTGAGGAGACAGAAGCCTGGGCCAAGCCACTCGGCCAGCTGTGGCAGAATCGGCCACCCAATTTTGAGGCTGAAAAAGAATATAATCGGACCATGGCTCAGCAGTCTCCGTACTGTGCTGTTTGTATGCTCTTTCAGACATACCAAGTAAGTAGTCTGGATCTGCCAAAGATATAGGAGAAATGACTGAACAGCTTGCTGCTGCAGTGTGTTGCTAGCAAACCAAGCCACTCGGCCAGCTGTGGCACAAGGAAGAAGAACTATTGTTCTAAGAGAGCATGATTTGGTGAACCTGCCTGTGTACCCGTTTTCAGACTGACACCTTTATTTCTTAAGGCTTTTTTTTCTTTAAACATTTGAAGTCCACTCAAAGCACAAGGTTTTTGGGGAAGCAGATCTGTTTAAGCATTACATAGTTAGTTTGACGTTGATTTAGAGTATCAAGTTATGAAATATTAACTTGAAAGTCTCCTGGTCTTTGATTGGGAAACTGCATTTCTAGTCTGCCTATTTCCTGGAAACAAAGTAGTCCAAATACTTGCTAGTCTTGTGAAGAGCTAGACCATGAAACAATAATGGGCATTCAAATAGCTTTGTATTTGTGTGATCATAATCCTGCCGTACTGATGTGAGATCGGTCAGCAGGGTTGAAGGAGGTGCAGCAGAGGTGTTTGAAGTGGTGCATGGAGTGGGCCTGCTGATTCCTGAGTGAACCTTCTGCCAGAGGAGATGGAGTTTAATGTGTGTCCTCTTGCTCCTTGGAGGGATGCTGTTCACACCCTCTAGCCATTTGAATAGAGAATATTTTCATTCTGAAGTTGTAGTAGCTGAGAATTTTGTGAGCTAGTTTTCTTTTCACCTAACCTACTAGCTCTTGAACCTTTCAACACCTTCATTCTTCCTTTAGACTGGATTTACATATGGAATAATGGGGAATAGAGTTGATAGGAAGAAGGCTTTTTCTTGTAAAACTTGTATTTTCTGTCTGTACCTTATAGGCAGAATGTGGAGGCCACAGTCAAAACTCTGGAGTAGCTCCAAGTGCTGCAGATGGGAAGATCCGAACCAAGCCCCTAATTCCTGAAATGTGCTTCACTGCAACTGGCTGCAGCACTGACCTCAATCCCTCAACTCCTTACTTGGAAGAGGATGGAACCAGTATACTTATCACCTGCAAGAACTGCCATGTCTGTGTTCATGCAAGTGAGCACATCCAGATTTAACTCTAACAGTCTTAACTCTAACAGTCTGTTAATCTGCAAATAGACGAAGTGCAGTCCTTGTCTGAATGGCGAATGTTTGCAGTGCTAGTCTTTAAAACATTTAGCTGGCTACATGGACAACTTGAAGTACACAGGAACCAACTTTAGGGATACCATTTCCAACTCCTGTGTTAGTTCTGTACCCTAGAGGAGTGGGTTTGCATTAAAGTGAACATTATTTCACAGAGTAGTTTGGGTTGATAGGAACCTTGGTTTATCACCTGGTCCAACACAGATATGTTACTGAGATATGTTTCTGTTCTAGGTTGTTACGGTGTATCTCCTGACAAGGCCACGGAAGACTGGATGTGCTCCAGGTGTACAGAGAATGCCTTAGAAGAGGTAGTTTTTATAAGATATTCATAGGTGGAGCTGGTTCACATGGGAATCTGCTACAAAGTCTGTTACCATCCTGTCATATTTTTGATTCCCTGCTGTGAAAAGCAGGCTGCTTAGAGAAAGTTTTAGGAGTCAGTCTTTTGTATTTTGACTTATTTTAAGGTAGTGGTCATAAAATTCTTTTACCCAACACAAAGCTGCTGAGCTGAGGCCAGCCGCTGAGGCAGTGGTGTCTTGCATGAGCATCAGTCGGTCCTTTGTTCTTAATATGACAGCTATTATTTCTAGAGCAGAAAGTAATTTCTGTCATGTAACCGGGAAGGTGTGAATGTATGAAGAAGGCAAGAATAAAACTCTTCCTTTGAACATTTGGATAGGCTCTAGATGAGCAGAAGGGTTAAGCTTTTGAATTGTTTCTGCTCGTACTTGTTGCAGATTTTCGTAGACATCCTCAAGGTGTTGCCTTAGTAAAAGAACTCACAATGAGCAATTTTATACAATTACTGGAGTCTATCCATTCCCCTAAAGGCAGCAGCATTTGAGATTGCAGGGCAGAGATCTGCCAAATGTTTAGTTCTCTTGTGACAATGAGACAGGATCTCTGGATGTGCCCTGGGAGGAGGAAGTTTTGAAACAAGTGCACCACTCTGGACCTTATGCTTTCAGCTAACACTCTCTTCCTTGTGCCAGGACTGCTGTTTGTGCTCATTACGAGGAGGAGCGCTGCAGAGAGCCAACGATGACAAGTGAGTGTTACACCTTGGTTGGTCTTCAGAACTCATTGCCTTAGCAGTTACTTGTATGCTAATCTCAATGCCTAAGCACTTAAAGCTAGACTAGTAAAGCAAATGTCTGCGTTTGGTTTAATGGAGTGACTAGCAACCTCTTGCACCCTTAGTATCATCAGTGAGGTACGTTCAGGTGTCTGTTCGTGATGCTCACATTGCATAAAGCAATCTATCTTTTTTGGGTAACGTCTCGCTCCCATTCTGGTCACACTAGGTGTTAATTGCTTTGCCTTTTTCAGTACTAAGTGTAGATTTTTTTACCTTCGTGTGTTTCTAGGTACAAAACATAGAGATATAATACACTATGTGAAACTAAAGCTTCTGGTAAGATAACACTTCTCAGGAACTTCTCGTAGATAATTTTGACTTATCCAAAAATGTGTATGTGGTGGGAACACGGGACAGCTGTAGTTCACAGCAGTACACCTTCCAATTCAGTGTTACATTGCAACAAGTATAGTGGTGTAGCACTGCGTGTCCAGTGCCCCTCTTTGGTGTGATGGCTTACTTTGTGATGGTCTGAACTTACTTGATTCAAAATAGATTGGTGTGAATTTTTTTAAAAGCAAATGGATCCTTCAGCTCTGTGGTCATTGTGTCAAAATGAATGCAGTAGTGAATGAACAGTTACTGCCTGACAAGTTTGTGGGGAATAAGTATTCCAGGCTGACTTTTGTGATATAAGTATGCAACCAGCAGAAGTCACAGTAAACTGTTGTTCTGTTCAGGCTGCTAGTAGTAGCTTGAAATTATGAAGTATATTTTTGACGTCATTTTTGCTGCATTTAGGCCCCAAGGCTAGTAGTAGGCAGGAAGAGCACACAGCTGCTTCTCAGCCTCTGTGGGCTGAAGCAGAGGCTATTCATCTTGGTCTGTTTATGTGGCAAGCTTCATTAGAACTGTATTTACTTTGATTCTAGAAACATTCTCTGTTGGCTCAGTGTGGGTTCATTTTTTTTTTCTCTTCTCTCCTGGTAGATGGGTTCACGTGATGTGTGCTGTAGGTGTCCTGGAGGCAAAATTTGTGAACATTGCAGAGCGCAGTCCCATAGATGTTGGCAAAATCCCCCTGCAGCGCTTCAGGCTGGTAAGGAACCCCCATGCTCCGCTCTGGGCTTTCATTGATGTTGCTAATTCCATCTGGGAGTCTGGGGCCTGAAGGAGAGAATATACTGCTTTCTCCTGGCAATAACTCTTATGTATCTTATGTACATAAATATCCTTACATACTTTCAAAAAGATGAACTAGAACTCCTCTACCATCCCCAATTCAGTGAAGTTGCTACTTTATTTGGAATTTTTCACTTCTTACTGTTTCTTCCTCTTCCCTAGTTTAAACTGCTCTTGCTTGTATTAGAATAGGGTTGGTTCTAGTCTGCAGAAGCTTTCTGAGAAGAAAATAACTGTTGAAATCTGTAGTCTTTGATCTGTGAGTATTACTCTTGAAAACTCAGTTAAGTATCTCAGTGTCCTGACTCCATGAGTGGCCAAAAATGAACACTCAGGGAAAAGTAAAAAGAGAGCAAGCACAATACAGTACATCTCAGTCTTTTGTCCCCAGCAATTTCCAGCACAGTAGGTTTCCAGAACCCATTGTGGTTTGTTTTGTAGCCTCCAGTCTGTGGCATCTCCTTGAGCCTACGTAAACTTCTTGAAACCATTTAAGCTTTTACAAGGATTTTTCACAGATCTGTTACTCTTTTTTTTTTTTTTTTTTTGGTATGAGAAACTGCCTCACTCTGCTTTTTCTGGATTGCCCTTTTCCATCCTCCCCAGTTGCTTACTGTTCCTAGGGTAAGTGCCTCTCCATACCATTCAGAATTTCAGACTTCTCTTATCCTTCCAGCCCCAGTTTGTCTCCTTTTCAGACTGAAGGATTTAATTAATTCTTTTTTTTTTTTTAATGGAAAAGGCAATTGTTCTTATTGCTGTTCTCTGAACCTCTCCATGTTCTAGTACATGTTTGTTCAGATGATCAGCCTGTAGGTGGGCACAGTTTTCTGTGTGTGGCAAGCTAGATTTAAACTGAGTAATGGTGTCTGTTATTCCTTATTTTCTAATTCCTACCATTGCACTTGCTTTTTTGACTGCTGTTGAAGCTGAGATGCTTCAGGACGTGTGAAACATTTTGTATAATGGGTGAATGTCTCCAGTAGAAAAGTATCTATTTAACTATTCTAAAAAATCAGTATTGAGGACAAACGGTTTTGCGGATACTAGTATGTCACAGGTAGTATCCTTTTCCTGTAACATCTAATCATGCCTGACCTCAGTGCAAGTGGGTCGCTGGTGGCAGAGAGACAGCAGGCATTTGAATGCACGCTCCATCGCTGGGAGAGCAATGTAATAGCTGTGACATATGCAGAGAACAGCCCAGGCACAGAACCATCCCATGCGCCCTTCCTGGCATGGATGCTGTGAGAAGATAGCCTTCTCCAAAGGGCTGGAGCTCCTCCTGGGCAGAGTGATAGAATTTTAACTTTTACAGGCCTAACTCTTGCAACATTTGACTCTGGATCAAGGGAATCCTTTGCCCGTGATACTGATCTTGTTGCTTGTCTTTGTGCAGCTTAACCGGGTGCTGAAAGGCCCTGGAACATTGTAGACTAGCTTAATTCAAGGTCTCCTGTAGCTAGAGTCCTAAGGTTGCATGCTTTGTGCATGTTGAGCTGGTAAATGCTTAACATATATTTTCATCTTATCAGGCTACTTTAAACTTATGAATCCTTCCCTTGTCATAAACTAGAATAAAGTCTGAAGCTTCTTTTGATCAAAAAGTAGCAAGTCCCCTCCTTGAGCATGGATAGCACAGTGTCAAAGCTTAGTGTTTTGTGCAGGATGAATGTTAGTGCCAACCAGTAACTTCTAGTTTCTTGTCCACAGAAATGCATTTTCTGCAAAAAACGGAGAAAGAGAATCGCAGGTTGCTGCGTGCAGTGCTCCCATGGTCGGTGTCCCACGTCCTTCCACGTCAGCTGTGCCCAAGCAGCAGGAGTCATGATGCAGCCCGATGATTGGCCGTTTGTTGTCTTCATTACCTGCTTCAGACACAAGACTCCATCTCAGGCAGAGGTGAGTAGGTGTGTGACTCCCAGCACTGAAGTTGAAATTTCTTGGAGGAACTGAAAAACTTTAGATTGTGTAACTGTCTCGAAATGTTTGACATAGTCTAATAGTGTTGGTCTTCAATTCTAACCTCAGCTTTTCTACTGTTCTGAGTAATCTTGAACAGATTCTTTGTATTTTGGTTTGCAGGACAGGAGGACTGTGCGAGCTACTTTTCTTCTGTGGCTGTTGTAATGAGGAATAGTAATGTTTTTATATTGTGATATTTGACACAAGGTTGTGCAGGAGTTCGTTCTGGGCTCCACCAGACTGCAAAAGTTGTCATGGACTCTCATCCTTAAGTGATTGTCTTTTTTTTTTTTTTTTTTTTTTTTTTTAATGTTTCTATGTAGCCCTTTTAGCTATCAAAGCTGCAACACTCAATTAGAAAATATTTAGGGCAAAGGCCTCGAGTTGCTCTGAAAAAGGAGAACTAAATTTACTGAGTAGGATTCCGTAGGATTGGACAGCTGCAGCTAAAGGATGGAGTGTTAAGTGTTTGAAAAACCTGAAACAGGACTTTTCTGAAAATGCTGCTATGGAGTCTCAGTACAATTATTCACTCTGAACTAAAATTCCTTCCTCCTTCCTCTGCCAGCAGTGGAGCTGTGTACCTCAACACGTTCTATGTCATGTCCTTAGGTAACAAGTGTTTTTCTGTTCTCAGCGAGCCAAGGCTGCACTCCAGGACCTGACACCTGGACAGATAGTGATCAGCAAGCACAAGAACGGTCGCTTCTATCAGTGTGAAGTGGTCAGTCTTGCAAAGGAGACCTTCTACGAGGTCAACTTCGATGATGGCTCCTTCAGTGACAACCTGTATCCGGAGGACATTGTGGTATGTTCTGCACTGGGAGGCTGACTCCAGCAGAGGGCACATGGTGCCAGTGAATTCCTCTTGCTGCAGCGCAGCCGCATGAGGAGAGCTGGTAACTAGTTCCAACCCAGGGTTGTGTGGTATTGTGGTATGCTGCAAGCCAGCTGGGTGGGTGTCATGTGAATTTCATGTGGTTTGGGTTAGCTGGGGACAAATAGGAAGACAGTTGCACAGATGTAGCAGAGGGCGAAGCTAATCTTTGCCTACTTAACAGTAATAAATAAGAAGGAAGCCTTATTGGTACTTTCCTACTGCTGCTGCATGAAGTATTTTGGAGCTGGGCTCGCCATGAGGATTTAAAAGCAGATGATACAAATAGATGTTTCTCAAATTGTTTCTGCATCACTAGAATAAAACTGGAACACTGTGATGTGCATCATACAATCAGGATAGATACTCCACAGTGGGGACAGATTCTCATTTGATTTGCTTAATCTTTGTATAACAAAGCTGCTGACCTTTACTTTGTTTCCTGTTTTTTTGCTGTCAGAGTCGAGACTGTCTTCAGTTATTAGGGGAGGTTGTGCAGGTGAGATGGACGGATGGACAGGTTTATGGAGCCAAGTTTGTTGCATCACATGCCATCCAAATGTACCAGGTACAGAATTCATACTGTTTTTTTTTCCCCTGCCTTTTGCAATAACTTCCTCTTCCCCAGATGCCTGAAGGACTCTAGGTCTTTGGTTTTGGTCTGCTTAGGAGACCTGTGGCAGTTTGTTGCATCATGATTATTATAGTCATTTGTCTGAAGCGTTGCTGTTAGCTTTCAAAATTGAATTGAGATTGATAGTTCTTTTGGAAAGGTAAGCATCACACAGGAGAGAATTCTTACAGCAGTGAGAATTACATCCTTTATCTCAGAAGGGATCTGTCATAGAGTCACATGGTGCAGAAAGTGGCTGACTGGCAGTTTATGTAATCATACACACATGGACTCCTGCCATCACTGTATTGCCATGGCAAATTTCTCTCTTTGAGACCCTTTACATTGGACAAAAAGCTACAGGCAGCTCTTGTTTAAAAATTGAGCAACACTCGCAGTTTTTCCATCTTTTCACCTTTCCTGGCTTCGAGCCCAGGAGGTGTCTGGAAATTCAGGGTTCACAACAAGCTGATCATGTTAACAGGGCTGTTCTCAAAGGCAGGAGAACTGTAGTATGGTCACACTTAAATGCATGAAAGTAAGTGATCCAGTGTTTCCAGCAATGCTGAGTGCTGGTAGCATGGACTGAAGTTAACAGCTTGCACTTCTGCTTAATTTGGCTATGGACTTGCATGTCAGCTTCTAAAAATCACTGGTCTTTTCTTCAGCAGACTTAGTTACTATAATTTAAATTGCTGTGAAGTGATGGATGTTTTTTCTGCTTAGTCAGAATGCATCATGCCTTGCACACTTTCAAAGGGACAAATGTTACAGCAAAATTAAACTCACTAGCTAGGGAAAGCCCACAAAATGCTGGCTTGTCAAATGTTACAAGAAAATCCCTAAAATTTCTTGGCTGCTTTCACTGCCAAGGGATTGGCAAAGCTTTTGTTAAAGTTTGTGGCAGTATGCATGCCTGCTTGGGTGTCTTATAAAACCTAAATGATAGAAGATGATTTCAGAAGAGGCCTCTGTAGGGAAGAAAAGGCAAGCTCTGAGTGGCTGTGAACAGGGTCTAGCTCCTCAGACTATTGACAGAAAAAATCCGTTTTTCTCTCAGGTGGAATTTGAAGATGGCTCGCAGTTGATGGTGAAAAGGGATGACGTGTACACTCTCGAAGAGGAGCTTCCCAAGAGAGTCAAATCAAGGCTGGTATGTAAAGTGGGTGCAGACATCTGAATAAGTTCAGTCTGATGCTGTTTGGCACTGGATAGCGAGTGGAGTATGTCAAGGCTGGTAGGTAAAGTGGGTGCAGACATGTCCTGAATAAGTTCAGTCTGATGCCGTTTGGCACTGGATAGCGAGTGGAGTATACAGCAGTAAAGCATTACAGTGTGATACTCTCTGCAATTCTTTGGTTTTAGATCAGGTTACAGGCTCAGTATCAGATCAGGTTATCTAGGTTAAAAGCCAAGTTCTCTCTCACCCTGGAGAGATTTTATTCTCCTGCAAAGATTGGGTTGTGTAGCCTTTCCCATGGAGTTCCTATGGAATTCTAGTTTAATCTCCTGCTCAAAGCACCATGAAGCATCAGGTGGGACTGCTGTGAAATATGTACGTAGGGGCAGCGTACCAGGTATTGCGCTTTACTAGATGATCCTGTACACTGCAATACAAAACCTGTTGGCAGGCACGCAAGGTATTACAGGCTTCAGAGTATAACACAGTGGACTCCTGTGTCTGGGGGTTTAACCCTGTCTGCTCTGTAAGACCTAGAATGCACTAGATTGCCTGAATGTTCCAACAGGTCGGTACATTTATTCCTTAAGAAGATAACTGAAAACTTATATTACTTTGTAGTAATCAAATACTTGAGGTCTCTGATTACAGTTCACTTAAATTTATGTACAGACTTCTAAAAGTTTTTCAAGCTATTTCTCTTCCTGTGAGGCATAGAAACCCAAAAGGTCAGTTTTTGAAAAAGGCTGAATGTGTCCAAGCACCCCAAACTTGTCCTTTCTTTCCATCAGTGGGGAGGATGTGGGGACAGGGATTTGATTTATGCTCTGGTAACTAATTCTGCTTTCATCACAGTCAATAGCTTCAGATATGCGCTTCACAGAGATCTTTGCGGAGAAGGAGGTCAGACAGGAGAGGAAGAGACAGAGGGTGATCAACTCACGCTACCGGGAGGATTACATCGAGCCTGCGTTGTACCGGGCGATCATGGAGTAAGCCCTGCCCGTGGCACAGGAAGATGCCCGTGTCCCCAAGGACTTAGATGCTCCAGTACAACAGGCCATATTTGGATGCTTCAAATCCAGGGTGTTTTTGTTTTTGTTTTTGGGGTTTTTTTTTTTATTTTTTTTAAAGGAAGCTAAAAAGCTGATGCTCTGCAGTAGCTGAAAGCCAGCCGTTGGATAGTGGAACGGATCCCATTTGCTGAAGCTGATGCCTGCAGGCTCCTGGTCTGAAGTTGGGTCCTTCCTGAATAAGCCAGCTTGGAGGTGCTGCTTTCATCTCGTCAAGCAGTCTTGCTTTTTTTTATTAGAGACTATTTTGACAGGTGGCAAACTCTTCTGGGAGTTGTAGCCAGGAATCTTGGCAGCTGCAGAATAGGACAAAATGTATTGTTTTAATTGAATAATGTTCCTGATTGGGGAGTCTCCCTGGTGGCCACACCTGGGCTTGAGCAGGCAGTATTACTGGTGCTTGACATTGAACCTCTTTTTATATTTATATCCATCTTTTTGTCTCAAGCAGCTTTAGCCTCTCGTTTCTCAGCACCTCCTTTCTGAGGGTTGAGATCTGGGCTGTTCAAGGTCCAAGCAGATGGGAGGTGTTTGTGTGAACAGGTGAAATGTGAAATCAAATCCTCTTGGACAAACTATTTAACCCTCCCTAATACTTTTGTTCTGATACTTGCTTTGACTTATAAGTTAAACTGTAATAGTACGTGCCTCGGTACCAACAAAATCTGTCTGGAGCCCTGCACAGCGCAGCTCCCTAACAAGAATATACATTCAGCTCCCAAAGAGTTTCTGTCGAGTTCCCCCCCACAAAGGCAATAATGACCAAAGGGACTGAGTCCTAACTCTCCCACCTCGAGATGCAAGCACCACAGCTCTGGGTATGACGGGGTGGCAGTATTTGAAGCAGTGCAGCACCTCTTCTGTAGCAGCCCTTCGTGTGGCCACAGGCTTTTGCTTCCACCAGCTTTGCCTCTGAGAGGTGCAGCGTGCACGGAACCGTTTGTGTTACGGAAGGGCTGTGTAACGCCCTGCTGAGGCAGGAGTGCTGCCATGTGGCACTCTGGCAAAGGTTACTGCAGTGTTTTTATGGAGAGTAAGTATGGCACATTTCAGTTGTGCTGGAGAGAATTTGCTGTCCCAGCAATAGGAAGTTGAATTAAGCTGGGTGGTAGGTATACCCTGAAGATGTGCCAACTTGCTCCTGTTAGTTTGAGCATTATCAGACCACAGCAGGAGTCCTGAAAACCATGTGTTCCCTTCCCATTCCTTAGGAAAGGGGTTTTAGGCTGTGGAGCAGATTGGCTGCCTTCTTTTGCATGAAATGACTGAGTAGTTTTCTTGCTGGAGAAAAATAAAGCTGCGTGTTCTCCAAAAGCAGTTTGAGGAGAATGTTCTAAAAGTAAAACAGACCCAATGCATCCCTGCTGTACAGGGACATGGCAGTGTGTCTGCAAAATCCGGATTTGTAACTTTTTTCTTTGTTACATAAGAATGCTATAAACCAAACTATCTGAAACCCCGGTGCATCAGTTTGTGATTAGCAATAAAATGTAGTATTGTGTAGTGATACAACTCTTGATCAGAAAAGTAATAAACTGCAACTTTTTTAAGGAATCTCACTTATCCCTACATTTTTATAGGATCAGGAGGCTGATAGGAGTAGCAAAGATTTGCACAACTGCTGTTTTGCATAGAGTTCTTGATCTGTCCAAGCTTTGTGGCAGAATATCTTGTTTGTCAGTATTGGAAGGCGTGAGGAGCTTCTGGAAGGAGATAGTGGCTTTCCTTGTATATTTTCCCTTATCCGAAATGCCTGGTTAGTCTCAGGGTATTACATTGCCTTCTCATGGATGAAGTACTTGACGTGATAAAACTAAGATCTGGGAAGGCCAGAGCTTAGTCACTGCAGGTGCTCAGTCCAGGCAGTGAGAACAGAGTTGCACTTTGATGTCTTGATCTGTACGTAAGCCTCTCTGGAGTGATGTGCTGTTAGCAAATGTGAAGAAAAAAGCTTGCAGTATCTGCACAAATTTGCCTCTATTCTTCCAGCATATTTTAGGATTTGCTGTTACTTCACTTAGGCTGAACACTACCCTGCATAATACTGAAAAACAGTCTTTACATCCCCTCCTGTTTTCCCTCCAAGGAAGAAAAGGTGTTAACAGCATTGCCCTAGAATGGTGACCTAGTGCAAAGCAGCTACATTAGTTTGAAGTGTTACAGCTGCACCAGGTTTTTGCTGCCCACCTTTTACAGTACTGAATCTTGTCCTTTTTTTTTTTTCCTCCCCCTCCCAAGAGTTTCTGTGCCTGGCATTCCCTCTGGAACAGGAGCTTTGTTTTGCTGTGTGTTCTGCAGACTCCAGACACACACTCTTGTCAGCTGGCTGCACTGTGTTGGAAACTGCTGCCATCCTGCACTCAAAGAGAAGGAGCCTTCCCAATTTTCTTGTCAGTTCTCATGTCACACAATTTAAATGTGAGCATACTTTATCCCAAAGCAGTGATTGAACTGTGTATTGGCTTATATCATAAACTTAAAACAAAATTGGAGACCCTGACTTTGGGATCTCTAGCATTTGACTTACCAAAAGTCATGGGGGTTATGGCTTGAAGTGTTAGCAATAAAAGCTCTTGAAAGAGCAGCTATCTCAAAAATACATATGCTTTGAATTACCAAGACTTACAGATCTTGACTGATAGCAATTTCCTTCAGTGGTTTGTCTTGGGAAGTGTATTTATCCATGTTACAGAATCGTTCCAGCGAGGGGAATGTGCTGCTGGAATACCAGCTGGGCAGGTGCTTCTTGAATGTGCTCGTTAGGAGGCCATGCTCAACACACCTGTGGGAACTGTGCTGGCCCCTTACTGGATCCGTTGTATGTGATGTTGCAGGCAACAGACTTCCTCACCTCACTCTTCATGAAATTTCTACCTGTTATATTCAGATATGGGTTCAAGATGGACCCCTAAAAAGCATTTTTAATATAAACAAAACAGTGGCTTGCCCTTAGTTCAGGATGAGGTTGGCAAGCCACTGCTTAACTTTTTATAAGGTTTAAAAGGGTGACTGTCATCTTTGTAAAGCACCTGATTGCAGTGATGTTTCTGCCTGTGGCTGGGCTTCTAGGAGACCTCTTGCTTCATCAGCAGATGCTTCTGATGATCAGAGGCAGCACCTTCTGTGACAGAACCTATTATCTTTGCTCCTTTTCTCTCTCCGCAGTTTTTTTTTTTTTTTTGAGCTGGGATTGAACTGTTTCTGCACTGTTTGAGGAGCATGGCCCACCAACTGATCACCTACTCCAAAGCTTCCATGCATCTCTGCTCTTCCATTTTCTAACTGGGCTCCTGTTGTCTGACATATCTGCGGTTGTGCTTTTTGTTTTTTTTTTGTTTTGTTTTGTTTTTTTAATGCAAACATGGGATGAAAACAAGACTCTGGTAGCCTGTATATTGTTTTCAGTTTGATCAAGTAATAAATCTAATTTCAAAATGGACAATCTCTAGACTAATTTCGAATCCGAAGCAATGCAACTTAGAAATTTTCATGGTGCTTCTAATTTTCTATTAGCGTTTTTCTCTTCTGATACTCCTGCCCTTAATGCTTATCCGGTAAGTTATCAGGTGTCTTTCAGAGAGGCTGAGTGATGTTCTGTTATTTAAGGACTTGGTCCAGTGTGGCTGTTAAACTAGAACAAGGGCAGAGTCGCAGATTCATCCTTCCGAACTGAAGTGCAGAACAGAGACACCTGCATGAAGAGCTGAGTTGCCTTCAGCTCCTGCTGCTGCCAAAAGGCCGCAATAGCGCCGGAGGAGGAGTCATCAGAAAATCTTCCTCTGTGGAATCAAATAGCTCTGCTCTTTATTCAGTATTCACTCTTGAATTTCACAGTGCTGGTTGAGACTTGCTCAACTGGGAGTCAGGGAAAGGAGATTCATCTACTGTACCTCATGGTTTTTAATTCCTGATACGTAGAATGACCTTGAATAAATTGCTTAGTATTTTTTTTTTAGTACTTCAGCACTTATCTGGGTACTAGAGTGCTAGATATTGATGGAGTCAGCTTTTCTTTTGTGTTTTGAGTTGTGCAGCCTTTGTTTAGATACCTTTTGCCAGACAAATCTGTGGACATGGAAGGAAGTTTTATGTGTGTGTACTCCCTTTAGGATACATGCTACTTCAGGTTTGACACAACCCAGGGGGGATTGCTGAACTGCCAAAATAAGCCTTTCACCTATTTCACAATGATCATTCTTTCTTTGTGTTGCTTTTGGAGCAACTTTAGATCTCACCCTCAGGTCAGTGAAGAGAACAACACTTGCAAGTGGGATAAACATATAAACATGGTGTTAGTGGGTTCCAGAAGTGAGGATAGCTAAGGGCGCGTGTCTGCAAGTTTCCTCTGGCCTCACCAGCATGGTTTGCAGAGGAATGGGAAGCATTCACCTGAGTGCTGTCTTTGTTGACAGCAGACTCGTATGAGAATTTCTCCCCTGTCTCTTCGCTGCAGCATGAATAATGTGACGATGCTGAAGGTCAAAACTGCTTTGTCCTAGAGAAAGAAGGACATGCAGGGGATGGTTCTGGAAAATGATTTAAATGGTGCAGTACATGTGTTTAATTTGTAGACAAAAAAGTAGCAGTAACAGAGCTCAAAAAGAGGTCCTTGGACCATCATTTTGCAGAAGAGTCCTAATTTTTGTGATTAGGACCACTTCTAATCACACTAGTTGTAATGTGATTTCTAGTGAACTTTGAACACCTAGTTCTAGTGAAATTTGAACATGTTCCTCAGAACATGATACAAGAGAAGATAAATAGGATTCTTTTGCCTTGGCTGCAGGGAGAGTTAGTCACAGACTCACAGAATGGTTGAGGTTGGAAGGGATCTCTAGAGATCTAGTCCAACCCCCCTGCTCCAGCAGGGACACCCAGAGCAGGTGGCCCAGGGTGGTGCCCAGGCAGGTTTTGCCTGGGTAAGTTGCTGCACAATGTAGGTATAGAGGCCCCACTAGCCACAAGGATATTTATATATTGATACCCAAGGTGGAAGTCCTCCATACAGAGCAGGAGAAATCTGTTCGCAATGAGACAATTTCTACCAGCTTGTCACATAACCAAACAGGATATGGATCTGCACTGTGACATGTATGCAAATACACTAGAGACGGAAGCAAGCTACTTCAGGAAGAGTAATGAACAGAGTCCACAATCTTGCTGAATTTATGGAGACAGGAGGTATGTGGTTCTGGTGGAGGCCAAGAACCCTGAGGCTGGGCGTTGCATGTGCACCCCCATCCAATACACATGTGCACGTGTATTAATCTTGGCTTCCGTCCTTGGACTCTGTCACTGAAATGCCCCTGTGGCGGAATAGGATAGCGCCACACCCGTGAGTTTATATTAATAACCATCCCCGCAACCGTGGTTATCTTGGGCGTCATTAGTGCTGATTGCCAACAGTGGTTTAAAAATGTGTATATAATAAAGTTAGAAGTATCTCCACCTTTGGTAGAGGTGGTAGGTGCTGACTGGCTGAAGGTCATGTGTGCAGGGTAACTATTAACTTCACCGCATTCAACGGCAAAAGGGAGCAGCCCCAACAGGTCTCCAGATGCGTCAAGCAGTACTTGGGAGTCCAAGGGTAGCTGCTCTGGGGCCGGATCATTCTATTGATGCCCTGGAGTAAGAGACGAGTAGAGACTGCACAGCCTGACTTGGCGCCCTTTCTCCTTGAGCCTTTGCTGCAAGCGGTGACCAGCTACGGAGGCGGCCG